AATAGTAGTTGTATTAATAATATTTTGCCATGTAGCCTTTTAGCCTAAAGACACGAAATTTATTTTGTTTTGACACATTTTTTCAATTTTTCAAAAAAAAACCCCATTTTTTAGACCCATGTTTTCAGTTTTTATATAATGTGTGGACTTAACTGAATCAAATCTGGCTGGGTTAATGGTGCATTGCAACTGCAGGTTTGTTCGAGTTGGTTTTTTTAAAAAAAAATCCAACCCAGTAAATAATCTAAAAACCTGAAACATCAGTCTGAAACTATATCGGGTAGGTTTAAATTAGTAGAGCCTGATTTGTATAAATACAATTATGATAATATCTATTTTCACAATAAAAAGGCTTAACAAATAAATAAATTATTTATTTAATATTGAGAACTTTTTTAAGGACTTGTTCAAACTCAATGTTATTGGCTATGGTGCCAGCAATTTGAAATGAAATATCAAGTTTGGTTTTTAATACTTCTTTACTTGCAGCTGAGATCGTTTTATTTTGGATATCAGCATTCTCTGGAATCCTACAAAAATGATCATACGTTATCTTATTACAACATTACCTTAACTGTATATTATCTTTTTAGAAACATACCAAGAAATAAATATAATCTTATTTCGATAATCTTCACCAGGCTTTTCATAATCAAAGTCATAAACAGCAAAATAAGGATCTTTCTTACAAGTTATTTTTTTATAAAACTTGTAGTATTCTTCACAATTGTTACCATCGGATTTTGTTAATTCTGCTGCATTATCAACAACAAAATTTGTTTTATCACTAGAAAATTTGTACAAAATGTATTTGTACTTCTTATATGACTTCAGATCGGTAAAAACATCCACACAATTGTCAGTTACTAAGACATTTAGGAGCTAAATTTATGATAATAAAACAAAACAGTGAAAGATTAAATTTGATTAAGGCCATTTCAACAATTTAGCTTTTATAATAATTTACCATTTTGTTGATAAAAAAGAATAACGAATTTTGTATATTAAAGTTAATATATTTCGTAGTTTGAAATTTGTGGTTTAAAAATCCTAGCTTAATAAATTTATACATTATATCTAAGAGTATTTCTGGTTCAAATTGAAATTACATATTTTTTAATAATTTTATTAAAAA